ATATAAATCTATATATTTTAAAGCTGATTCAAAAAATAAAACCACTCTTTATCCAAGTGGTGGCTAAATAATTTAACCATACAAATCAAATTAATCAACCTATGAAATCATAGTTATGTAAAAGTTTTTGAAATAGAAATTAATATAGTAAATTACAAAAAAAATTAGACACATTTATGACATTTTTATTAACCAAATTAAAAAAAAAGTATAATAAACAAGAATTATTTTTATTGACAATGAAAATGAAATACATAATTTAGAACTAACCAAAAATGAAATATAAAAGTTAATAATAAATAGTTTAATTTTTGAGTTAAATGTGTTAACCTTTAATGTCATAAATAAATAATAAAATTAATAAAATATAAAAATAAAAAATAAAAAAATACATAAATTTTGCAAAAAAAAGCATTCAAACACATGTACAATATCATATATTTATTATATTAAACAAAAAGTAAGTGTGACATATCAAAATTATGTTACACACAAAAATACAAAAAAAAATAATAGAAAAAATTGAACATATTTATAATTCCATATTTATACTATTATTAAAAATATGAATAAGATTATGAAAGTTTGTTTTGATTAAAATTATGGTTTTAAAAATTGACCCAGAAACGAAACTACTTGGGCTTCTGGTTTTCGGGTCTGCGATTCAACCGTCTAATTTTAGTGGGTTAAACCAGTAAGATGTAAAATATAATGCAACTTTTTATTTTGACCGCTAAATTATGATTAAGTTAAAGTCCACTGTATATGTACATTATTATGAGAGGGGATATTGAGACTTTGAGAAGGAGGTTGTTGGTTGGAGTTGAGAAGTGAAGAAGAAGAATGAGGAGGAAGAGAAGCACCACTAGAGGTGGTTGTCACCATATTTACTGTTCGTTGTTGCAAAATTGTTTGCCCTAAGAAGAAGAAGAAGAAGAAGAAGAAGGAACTGTCGTTGCCGACTATCTCCATGTTCATCATCACCATCACTATAGCATCGTTTTCCCTTTTCTTACATCCCTATCATCTCTTTAAATCTCTCTTAAATCCCATGTCATTTGCTTCATTAGTGTATCTCAGATTTTTAATACAAGATTGGTGTTTAATCTCGTATCTCTTGCATCGAATTTTCAATTTCTTCATTGGAGTTTCATTTTTTTTTGTTTGCTATTACAATTTAAAAAGAATCACAAAAATGAGAATACTCAAAATCAAAATGGAAAAACTAAAAACCTTCATTGGAGTTTCATTTTTTTTGTTTGAAAGCAACCCAAGAACCATTAATCGGGTCAAACATTTTAACGATTATACCGTTCGGGTCTGTTGTTCTCTAGCCACTTCAATGGCTTTTTGAAAAAATAGCGGTTCAGGGCCAAAACATAACCAGTGACCTAACTGGTTCTTGGGCCAAACGGTTCAAAATACTCATTTTTGAATACTCACCACTTAGATAAAGAAGGGTTCAGGGCCAAACGAGCCAACTGTTGACCTTAAGGTTCCCAGGCCAAACGAGCCAAATGGTTCAGGGCTAAAATAGCGCTTCTTGTTCGGTTTTTAAAATAATGACTAAAATACTCATTTTTGAATTTAGTCCCTATTTAATTGTAAGGTTTAAATTGTAATTTGAACTACTACTTTGCACCTCATTCAATTTCCTCTATTTAAACCTTACACATTTTTTGATAAATGATCAAAAGAAAAATGATACACCAAAATGACAAAACACTACAAAAAGAATAGTCTAACCAAGTAGATAGGCCTGTCAATGATATTTGGAACTTAACAACTCGATCTGATTATTACGTATTTGGATGAGGTGTTTATGTAATCAGATTTGAATTTTGCAATCTACATAATAATAATAATAATAATAATAATAATGATGATGATGATGATGATGATGATGATGATAATAATAATAATAATAAACCAAAAAATAAAATATAATTTGCCGCATGCAAGCATGTGTACACTTTATCAGGCTCAAGCTCAGTTCAATTATCAAATGAACCTATATATTAGGCTTGGGTTCAGATCAAAGCTCAGTTTAGATAAAGTCGAATTGAGATTTCCACAAGCCAATTCATGAAAAGCTTGATTTGTGTCCACCCAAACCCCTACTGATGACCTAGTAAGTGACTTGGTTACACGTCTCTCCTTGAAGTGACAAATGGATGGGCTGGGTTGGGTAGGATATAAGTGAAGGCCAACCCATTCATCAACAACTAACATCTCTAATGCCTAAATGTTTTTTTTTTAGTACGTAAATGGGTTGCAACCCAATTTAACCCATCCATGTTGATCTCTTAGAGGAAAAAACTTCCGATTTCTCTTATAGTGTTACATGTCATGGTCTAATTGGTTTGATCCAAACAAAATGATGGATTTTATCAAATGGATAGATAGATGAAATAAAGGAGGGATAAGACACATAAACCAATAGGAGAAACAAATGTAGGAAAGAGAATGAAGATAGAAACATGAAACAATGGGAGATAGGAGAGAAAAGGTAGGAAAGAAACATGGGAGAGGAGGGAGAAAAGAGATAGGGGGGGAAGAGAGAGAGAGAGAAGGGTGCAAGGTTGGATCGGGTTTTAGCTTAACCAGGCTCAGCCCTAAGAATTAGGCCTAAAGCTTGAGGTCGAGGTCAAGCCCTAACTATCCAACCTGAACCTAACCCACTTAAATTTGATGCACTCAAGTTATATGACATATATTTTTGTGTGTATGTATGCATATATGCATTAAATATGGTTTATAAAAAAAAGTTATGCATATATGCATGTATGCATGCAAATATGTGTATATGCATATATACATGTATATATCGGGGGCAGGCTTGAGTTGGGATGAAATCGAGCCGAGTTCAGACTACCTAAGGGGTAGGCCCGAGCTCAATCTAAAAAATAAAAAAAGCCTTAACTTTTGGGCCCACCTCAACCCATTGATTGAAAATCCAAGCCAAACTCATGTAAAATTGCAGTCTGGATCAGATTAGGCTCGAGTTGGGCCTGCCCAAGTTGCACCCCTATAGAAAATCTATACTACTATAGAAAGCGAGAATAGCTCCTCATGGCTAATGAACTTTTTATCGACTAAAATATCCCTCTACCCAAAATTGGACCCTCTCTATTAMGATGGCAAAAATTGTAATTTGAATACTATCATTCTATTCATTTTCTTCCCTCTCATTAAGTTTCATATTTAAAGTATTAGGTATTAATTCTCATTTTTCTAAGCAAATCCTATATTTAAGGTATCTTTGTTTCTCAATATTATATTTGATTGATTAAAACAGTGAACAATAATTTTAAAAGTATAAAAACTTGTTTTTAAAATTAACATGAAAATGAAACCATTTTTACCATGTGGTGGGTAAGTAGTTCAATCTTTTGGGTCAAATAGAGGTAATTCATGATGCCTTAATTAAATAATAAAATTTTTAAATAAATAAAAACATGAAAAGTGATGAAATTTTATATAAATTTATGGACACATATCTAATATTATATATTCATCATAAGTATCACAAAAGAGGAGTAGTTTTACTAAAGATGGAAATCAAATACAAAAACTCAAAAAATGAATCATTTCCCATTTGAGTGGTGGGTCAATGTTTCATTTAGTTCAAAACCTATGATGTTATAGTCAAATAAGCAATTATAAAACTAAAAACATACAAAGAATTATTGAAAAAAATATAAGAAATAGGAATGACATAGACACATCTATGGGATTATATATTAATCATATTAAACAAATACAAGTGTGATAAAACAATAATTATTTTTTTTAATGAGGTAAATGAAGCCAAGATTTAAAACTATATAAAAAAATGAAACCATTTTCCTATTTATGTAGCATATCAATAGTCCAATCTTTTTGACCAAATGAACTATCCCATGATGTCATAATTAAATAAAAAACATTTAAAAAGATAAAGACACAAATAAATATGACAAGTACATAATTATAGAAATTTTGAACACATCTTTAGTATTATGTGTTCATCATATTAAACAAAAAATAAGTGTGAAAAATAAGATACCTTCTCAATTTTTACTAATAGTGAGAATGGAATACAAATTTAAAATTGAGATAAAAGCAAAATGATGTTTTCCATGTGGTGGGTAATCTACATGGCCTCACTTGATTGCAGTATAATTTCATTCACTAATGCAAAGGCATGGGAGTGTAAATGATGTCAGTGCAGGTTCCATTTTTTTTTCTCGTTTCATATTTTGCCTTGTTTTATTTGTTTTTATCGAAGATGAAATAATAAAACCTGAAATTAAATCTAAAGGTTCCAATTGGGAAGACTGTAAATTCCAGTTCAGTGCATATTTGCATTTTGGCTCAATTTTACTAGTGTTTGGTAAGACTACATTTATCCTGAAAATGACAATAAACTCAATTTTAACATTGAAGACATATTGTGCATTCAAAATGTGAGCAAAATTTGTATTCAAAAAGATATATTTCATTCATGGGATTCATGTCACAACTAATGCCGTGTTTGGGAATACATATTTGAAAAATAGGGGTAATATAAATATTTTCAAAATGATATAGCAGGCCAAGATACACTATAAAGGAAAACAAACACTTAAAAATAAGCTGAAATTTTGGGCTTATTAAATAAATACTTATTTCGGGCTTATTTCCCAAATGCCAAATAAGTATTTATTGGTGTAGACGGTGTGGTCCTCGCCTAAAATATGTGCTTATATGAATAATCACTCTTAAACTTGGCATAAAATTCATTCGACAGGATTACAAAATTATCTTTACAAAACAAAACAAACTTTGCATTTTCATGAACCGTACATATTTGCATTTGTATCGATCATTTTTGTATTTGTAGTTTGTACTATTATCAAACGGAACCAAGTAAGAATGGAATAGTATTTGCGTTTTTCTCATTTGCACTTCAATTTTGTACTAGTGCAAATGTAATTGCATTGCAAATTGCAAACAAACAGAGCACGCAATTCAGAACCCGAGTTCCAGCTTTGATAGACTGTAAGAAACCTCTTTTAACTCCCATTCCCATCGACGAAGCCTAAAGGGCCGTCTTCACCCGGCTGCCACTCCTGAACTCCAAAACTTGGTGGCGAAGATGGTCGAAGTGGCGAGCTCTGTTGTTTACGACGTTTTGGGCCAAAGAGCTCAAGATGTGGACAAGCCTATCATAGATTACATCATTAACGTCCTTGCTGACGAAGATTTCGACTGGGGCGCCGAAGGAGAAGGCGCCTTCGAGGCCCTTGGGGAGTTGCTTATTGATTCCGGATGCGTTACCGATTACTCCGAATGTCGATCTGTGAGTACATTTCTTTTGTTCAGTTTATTTTGTAGTCTTCCGATTGTTGAAAATTCATGAAGCAGTTATAATTTGTCCATTGTAGGATCTTACGTAGATTATGCTTTCTTTAATTTGTCGCACATATCGTTGGGCGTTCATACCCTTTCGAATATTTTCAGCTATTCGTAATTATTTTCGACTATGTGCACTTTTGGCTTGTGTATTTGCTTGTAACTTGTTTCTTATGCCTTTCTTTATTTATACTCTTAGGAAAAACGATTTTCTAATCTTCAATTTATTTGAAAAGGTCAAACTCTGGGTCTCAGTTCCAGCAAACAGTCACAGAGAAACAGTGAAAAATTATGATGCATCTGTGCAAAAACCCTTCAATACTTATTAAAGACTCTTGAATGTTAATATAAGCTCAAATTTTAAAAGGGTTATAAGTTATAACAAACATAAATATGCCGGACATAACGAATGGAAGTAAATGTACAAAGTCAGAAGTATAAAAGATTGATGCTTCAGTCAGTTAAGAATCCTATTTTGATTAATGTACGAGAAACACATCCTCAGCACAATGAATATCAAGGAGTCTGGCACGTTCCTTATGCTTCTGAGGCATGATCCTCAATATTGGTCCTCAAGCCAATTTTCCTAGTTACTCGCTAACCTCAAAGCGTGCATCAAGCCATCAACGGATAAGCTCCAGATGCCTTCTATAACACTAGCCTTATCTGTAATTGATTCTTTTCAACTACTTCTTTCACAAAAAACTTAGCATGGGTGGCCATCTATGTCCAAAATTTAGTGGAAGTGATAATGCAATTGCTCTAACAAGTGACAATTTGCATGCTTTATTGTGCTCAGGAGAATACTTTCATAGGAAAAGATTTGGTCTCTATACTGAGGTGGCTGATCTGATGTTCAATCACTTGTTAAACATGTAGGTTTGTAGAAGACTCTCTGAAAAATTTGGAAATCATGGGTTGGTTAAACAGAAACAGGCTGTACGAAGCCTTGCAACACCCTTACGGATGTTTGATGGAATGGACGAAGAGGAAGCTCCAAAGAAAAAGCCTCAAGAATTGGATGGTCCTGTGTTATCTGAACGAGACAGGTTAAAGCTTGAAAGACGAAAGAGGAAAGAAGAGCGCCAGAGAGAGGTATGTCTACATAAAACTATAAAATGTGTGTTTCTTTATATATCTTCCCTTTCATGTCCAAAAGATCATTTCACTAAAAAGAATGGTAAGAGTTGGTTTAGTCCCACTTGCAGTACCAAGTCCATATGCTTTGGTTTTGCTTCTTCTTTGTTAGTTTGAATTGATGTATGAGAAGAGTTAATGGATGTGCTAGGTTTACCCTAAGCATGTCTTCATACTTCACTATCATATTGAGTCCAAATTTGTCCATGTGCTAGAGTTTCTCATGAAGTATGAGTTGACTTATAAGCTGATGAATTCATCATTGACTTTTTTTTTTTTTTTCGTTTTTTGTTTATTGGGCAACCAAACAGGCACAGTACCAAATGCATTTAGCAGAGATGGAAGCAGTTAAAGCAGGAATGCCTGTGGTATGTGTAAATCATGATAGCGGGGCAGGTGGTCCTGCTGTCAAGGATATCCATATGGAGAACTTCAATGTCTCTGTTGGTGGCCGTGATCTCATTATAGATGGCTCAGTCACCCTTTCTTTTGGAAGGCACTATGGTGGGTTTATACTTCATAGTTGTGTTGTATAAATACATTCCCTGCATGGTTTCTGTTCTATGCTCTTTGTTCTTGTTGGTCAAAGAAATAATATCCTAGCTTCATATTATATTTCAATCTAGATTGTTTGAAACTCATGCATAGGTGTGACTATTCACTGGTTCTCCATATGGCACCGGATTTCTACTGAATTTTTATACCCTGATATTTGTACAGGTCTTGTTGGCAGAAATGGGACAGGGAAAACTACTTTTCTTAGACATATGGCCTTGCATGCAATTGATGGTATACCTAAGAACTGTCAAATATTACATGTGGAACAAGAAGTTGTAGGTGATGATACATCAGCCTTGCAATGTGTTCTTAACTCTGATGTTGAAAGAACCCAATTACTGGAAGAAGAAGCCCGTCTACTTGCACTGCAGGTTCAAATAGCGTTTGTTTGAAACTGAACTAGATATAGTTGTTTCTAGTGTTTGGATTTGTTTACTTTTCATGTTCCTTTTTGTGGAAATGCTCTCTTTTTTCATGATTTACCAAACCTACTAAAGTTATCTTACTTGTCCTGAAGAGAGAGATGGAGTTCGAAGGTGCAACAGGAAAGAGTAACAAGAACATTAATGGGGGAACCAACAAAGATAACGTGTCACAGAGGCTTGAAGAGATATACAAAAGGCTTGAGTTCATTGATGCATATTCTGCAGAGTCGCGTGCTGCTTCAATTCTGGCGGTCAGTTCTCAAAGCATCTGTATTCAGCATTCCTGAACTCCTAAATTATCTTAGTCTAGACAATATTCCAGTGGCATTATATTTTTGGTTCTGCATTAGAATCAAACCATTTCTCATGCACCTTTTTGAATTACCTATAAATTCAAAGGTCTAAGCAGCACAGGTCCCTGTTTTTGGCATGCTATAGCTGTTATAACTTATAAAAGTTATTTTGAAAATTGTTTTGTGTTGCCAGTATCAGACATGCTTACATAAAAAAAAAGGGTAGAAATGTCTTATATGTTCCTAAAAGAGTAAGATTTAGCGTTTAACAGAAAAGTATTCCATCATTCAATCAGTGGAAGATATTCGAGTTGGTTTAAGGTTCTTTCTACAAACTATAGGGTTTAAGATTTGACATAGAGCTATGAGTCTTATCTTTGGGTTATAATCAGCTAAGGGACAATAAAGTGAACAAATGCTTATTGGGAAGAAATTGGGCATGGAGTTGCCAAATAGGTGCACTTTGAATGACAAGTGGTTGAAATATGCCATTTAGATCCTAGAAAAGGTGAAAATTGGGGTCTTAGCAAAGAACAATCTGAATTCCCTTAGCTGCTTCTCTGAATCAAATTTAAAAGTGGATGAACAATGAAATGTCAAATGTTCAACAAAAAACAGTGTCGTCACTCAGACCAGACCAGACTGGATGGTTTGACCATCAGAGAGATATGGGAACTTGCAGCCAAAATTGTTTTAGGCTGCTTGGTTCTTTGAAATATGTACATGGTAAAACCTGCCTCAAATATAAGTATTTCTATATGTTATAATCTGTAATCAATGTTTTTGAACTGTGGTCAAAATGGTGGGTAGGATTGGTTGAACCATCAATTGGCCATATTTCCTGGTCTGTTTCATCCCTGTTCACCTGCAAAAAGCCATTAACTTGGTCAATAATCTAATGACTCAGCTGGTTGAACTGCTGAACTGTTTTATGCTGTTAGTGGGTTATAAGTCTTTCCTGTAACCAGACAGTGAAGGTTCCTAGTTGTGGCAGTGGATTATTTAACAGAGTGGGTAGAGGCTGAGCTGCTAGTGACCATCACAGCTTGGAACATTCAGAAGTTCTTTTGGAGGAGTATCGTATGTAGATGATCACTACCGAGGGTATTGATCTCAGACAACGATAAGTAGTTTAAAGATATTAAATTTTAGAATTGGTGCACGGAGATGGGCACAAAGCAAAACTTCACCTCTGTCGCTCATCCTCAAGCTAGCGGTCATGCTGAGGCAACAAACAAAGTTTGTGGATGGACGAGCTGCCTAGTGTGTTATGGGCCTACCGAATGACCATCAAGACAGTAATAGGTGAAACACCCTTCAACTTGATGTATGGAACTGAAGCCGTGATACAAATAGAGATTGAAGATTCGACCCTGCAGTCTGAGACGTTCGACGAAGAGACTAATGGGGAGGATCTACGGACTAACCTCGACTTAAGAAAAGAAGTTCAAGACCTCGCCTACATTTGAACCGCAACATACCAACAACAAGTGGCTTGGTACTATAACACCCGAGTCAAGAGACGCCAATTCCGAGTTGGCAACCTAGTACTCAAAAAGATTATGGTGCCTGAGTTCGGTGTGGGAAAGCTAAGACCAAACTGAGAAGGCCCTTATAGAGTCCTCAGAGTGATAGGTGAAAACGTGTACGAGCTCGAAACATTGAAGGGGACGATGGTACCCCGTGCGTGGAACATAGACAACCTAAGGAGATACTATCTCTAAAAAAAAAAAAGAGTTCCAAGCTACACCCACAGATTTGCAAAAATTGCTAAGCATAAGGGATGCCAAATTGCTTTCAACACTAAGGCACCCAGGCCGACCTCCTAGCAACTCAGCTAGAAAGAACTTAAGGGATGCCAAATCGCTTTTTGCACTAAGGGACCCAGGCCGATTTCTCAATAGTTTGGCTAATAGAAATTTAAGGGATGCCAAATCGCTTTTAGAACCATGGCACCCAGGCCAATCTCCCAGCAGCTCGGCTAAAAGATGAAAGGTTGCCAAATCACTTTTTCGCACTAAGGCACCCGGGCCGACCTATCGGCAACTCGATCGAACACAACTGAAAGTTAGAAGAATGATAGAAATCCTACTAGAAGAAGATATCAAATATGGTAAGCATGATAAGGCCAAATACCAAGGTACATTAAAAATAAAAACCTCAATAGCAAGAAGTCTGATATTATAGGCACACAGTCCCAAGAAGCATCAACTTATAGGAACACGTAGGCTCCCAAAAACAACAGAAGAAAAGAAACCAACATAAAGGCCAACCTACTCCTCACCACCACCTTGCAGCCCATCATTGACATCGTCACCCTCCTCGCCGTCTTCTGCACTAGCTATTTCTATATCCTCATTAGGAGTCAAGGGCTCCCCATCGACCTGCACAATGAACTCATTTGGCACATCATTGATAGAGAAAGTGACAAAGTTAAATCAGGATGTAGCGTCTACAAGTAGTGGCGACAAAGTTTAAATCCCCTTCTCATAGCGGGGACTGCGTTCTCCACCTTTTCCTGGGCGTATTTGGGGGAGTAATGGAAACGATTGATGGTTGTCAATTTTGCTTGGTGGATATCTTCCGTATACTTAGTCTGCCTCTCTTTCAGTCGGCGCTCCTGGGTAGCAATGATCTCTGGGGCCTCATCTAGCTCGTGCTACATCTTTCTGCTCAGCTCGATAAATTGCTAACGGTCCTTGGCGCTGAGATGGACTCCTCGCATTTGAGACTATAGTACGTCAACACTAGACTATAACTTGGTCCTCTCTCTCCGGCCTGTGATGACCTGATCCAGCGGTACTTGCCCCATGGTGTTCGCCTGCCAAAAGAAGAAAGGTATGATCAGTACAAGAATGACATCACAACAAGACAAAAGCTTCAAAAGATAGAAGACAAACCTGAAGTACACAATGAGTCATCCAAGCTCCAACGTCGGTTGGGTCCAAACCATGGTAATACCACACATCTTCCGAAAGCAACATGTCTCTTCCCATCTGAAGGGCTACATATGTGTCGTTCAGGCTGGGCCAAATAAACATATTCTTGGACAAAAAAATTTCTACGTCAAAGTTCTAGAGCACGAGGTGATGGACCTGACATTTCAGCTCATCGTCGAACTCTACATCGTATTTTCGGCACTCCTTCCGCCATATTGTGTCCATATTCCAGCCAGAACTACAAGAGAGGAAGAAATACATGTTCTTCCAACCTTTGATTTTCGAGGGAATGCCTTCTAAGAGCTTGCGACCTTGGTGGAAAGGAAGATAACAGCAATAGGGCATGTGGGGGACCTTCTTCATAATACACAACCCGACAAAGATATCTAAATCTAAGGGAAAGTTGAGGTGGTGGAATAAAGAAATTAAACCTACTAAGGTGCAGACAACATTGGGATGAAGTTGACCTAAAGAAACACCATAATGGGAGAGTATGACAAGAACAAAAGGATGCAGAGGAAAGCGAAGGCGAGCGATCAGCTTCTCCTCAAAGACACAAACCTCGTCTTGGCCATGACTCCAGGGAAGATGGCTAGGGTCGGGTTGGATGTAATCGAACTTCTTTTGTAAACGATGAAGTCTCGACTTGAGAACCCTTCTCGTCTTGCAGTGAAGAGCTCTCCCTTACCCACAGAAAATTTAGGGATCTACCCTCAGATGGATCAAAAGACATGTTTACAAAAGAAGACCACTCACCAGAGAAAAAGACAGGGGAATCGGCGCCAACGACAAAAAAATTTACGGAAGGTGAACAAACAACATGTCGGTTGATTGGCCACCCTCCTCTCTAGAAGAAAAAGCCAAGAATAGTGCGAGTGGGACCTCAGTGGGGACCCCATATTTATAGTCCACTGGGAAGAAAGATCAATGGCTAAGGCACGCTACCAACAAATCCACAGTTGAGAAGGCTTTTTCGCGTTCGGGAAAATTTAAAATTTAAATCTCGTGTGCCCAGACAACAACACATCGATTGATTGGCCACCCTCCTCTCCAAAAGAAAAAGCCAAGAATAGTGTGAGTGGGACCTCAGTGGGGACCATATTTATAGTCTATTGGGAAGAAAGATCAATGGACAAGATGCGCTACCAACAAATCCACGTTCGAGAAGGCTCTGCCGTGTGCGGGCAAATTTAAATTTTAAATCTTGTGTGCCCACTGAGTGTGCCCCATTTCAAATTTTGAAATTTGAATTCTGCCGCGACCCCCCTTTTTTTAGACCAGATCAGGTGAGCGAGCCGAGTGACCTACAAACCAGTCGGACCAATTACTTTATTGAGAACTACTCCTTTCACCAAGCTAACGAGGGCTCGGAAGTTGGGGCAAATGATGAGGGGTAATTTGGTCCTCCAAATTACATCACGACACGTGCCTTTCAAATGACACCTCGATGCTGAGTAAGCAAATCATCTTGGCACGTCGGCCAAGAACACCTTGCCCAGGCTGACCTCAATTACCTCGGCCAAGCTGGGCTAATAGGTCTCCTAGCACATAGAAACCTAACTCAAAGACCGGACGAGTTGCAAGAAGTACCTATGGCGACTTGCAAGGCGAGCTTGTTGAGTTGTCTCATAGATTCGTTACCAGCCTGAGATCTGTAGAGTACTAATGAATCGATTAGTTAGGTCGGCCTACCGCATCGCATGCATTAGAGTTAATCGGACAGACCATAGCCCCCGCACGGATTATGTAACCGACATAATTACTCTCCTGAGTGAGCGGAAACGACGACTCAAGTTCTCGCATCTATATAAAGCCCTCACTCTTAATTGTGAAGGTATGCATGATTAAGCTCTCAAATTCTTTTATCTCCTAATAACTCTCAATACAACTCGCATTAAGCATCAGAATGCGCATCTCAAGTAAAAATAACCTGGGCACTCTAATCCTATTACTCTTGTAGAATAGAACAACTCGGCCATTCTTAGCTCAGCCTAGCACAGCTCGACACTTACATAGCATGTAAAGAGGGAACTGACACCAATATCCAAATACATTTAATAGGGTATCTAGACATGACTTTTTTATAGTAATGGTGAATGATTATTTTTTTTTTGTTAGAAAAAGGTATTGGAGTGGCCATAAATTTGTTTTGGGAGTTTGGTGGGAGGCTAAGTGGCAACTGACAAGGTTGAATATCATGGAATTCCACATTATCTATCAAATTTACAGCACCTTGCCATGTGGCAAAGAAATGCCTTATTGCATCAAGGATAAAAAGTAAACACATAATGGAAGTCCTCAAATCCAATATGGCAGATGGAAGGTATCTAAACATACTTATAATCGTTGTAGATGGAATTCTCATCAGCGCCCCACATGGCACGTCCCACACGTGCCCCACAGCCCATTGCTAGGGGTGTATAATCGGTCAATTCCGTTAGAACTGAAGATTTAACCGATTATTTGGTTTGACCTCCTTTTCCAACTGAACCGAACCGAACTATAATTTAAAACTGAACTGACTCTAACCGAATTCAATTCGGTCTTAATGATTAATAAACAATTATCTATTAATCTTTAGTCTAAGTTTTAATGAACAATTAATGCAACTACAGCCATTTAATGAACAGTTGAATGACTAATTATTAAAGCAACTAAACTCATTCTTCACAAACAATTAGTGAATAATTAATGATCAGTCTAAACTTTAATACTCTAGTTGTTTAGAGTTTCTAGACTATTTAATTAACTATTATTAATTAAAAGCTGGAATAGGCCCAACCTCCCAAAGGGAATTGTAAATTGATCATTACCCATTGAAAAAGATAATAATTTTAATTAATAAGTATAAAGTATTTAATAGAATATTATATATTTGATATACTTAATTAAATATAACCACTAATTTGGTTTTTGGTTCGATTTGATTGAAAAGCTTAACCAAACTGAACTGAACTGATATCCGAATTAACTAAATCAGAATAGCTTATTTGGTTTGGTTTTTGGTTTATCAACTAAATTTGAACACTCCCATCCATCACAGCCATATATTGGGAGCACCTTCCCATGACAAGTACAAAAGATGTTCCCAATACACGCTGAGATGTCATTGTGAGGGGCGCCACCAATCTAATCTCTTGTAGATGTAATTTTTGTATGAGCATTTTAATTTAATAATGATTAGAGTTATTAGGATTATGGAAGGATGGGTATCATGTGTGTGTGTAATATTATTATATGCCTCAAAAGTTAAMCCAGCCATTGCATTCTATTTCTTAGTACAGATGGACTATATAAGCCACTCAAGAATGCCAAGGTTAGTGGGTCCCACACAGGTAGTGATTTTCCTTTTTTTCTTTTCTAGAAATTTTAGTAATTTTTTATTGAATTTTAGGGGGCCATACTTATTAGTCATGCAATTAATTATTATTATTAGGTAAAATTCCTCTCTTTTTCTTTTTTTATCCATTGTTTTAGACTTGAGGTAGTTGCACATCTATTAAGCGGATTTTGTATTTGAGAAAAATTCATAATCACCATATTTTTGTGGTGCAAGTAAACTTGAAGCCTTTCATTGCATAATGGGTCTTACTCTTCATCTCATTCACTTAGTTGGGTTATTGATCTATCATTGTTTCTTCTTATGCTATGAATATGAATTTTAGTTCAATTGCAAATTTTCATACTTCTTTTTTGTTTATTTTTGTTTGGAGTAATTTTCTTTCAAATTTTTGGTATAATGAAATGTGTTTATCATGCTATTATATTTTTTTCTTTGTTGCAGCATTTTCCCCTCCATTCTTTTATCTATTAGAACTTAGGCTGTGTTTGATTTCAAAAGAAAAGGTAGGGAAACCTTTAGAAACTTGTATACATTTGGCTTCCTTTCCCTAGCTACCTTTTCTTTCAAACCAACACAGTCTTACATGATGTAATCTAATATATTGAGCTTTCAAAGAAGATATCTCTTTATGTATAGATTTTTACAGCATTTAAAGAAGATAAACTTCAATTCAGTCTGTTGAGGAGTGCAAATACAAATATGTAAAAGGTTTTGAATTGAACATATTTGTATCTGCACTCTTTACAAACTGAGCCTTAATGCAATCCTCTCCTCTTTACTGACTTAGCACATTTTGGTTTGGTCCATTTATCATTGTATTATAAGTTGTTGCAACTCCTAGAAAAATGCAAAGATTCTCTTGTGCAGAGAACTTTTGAATGAGATCACTATGGTATTATAAGATCAGCATTAAGTAGTGAGAAGTAATAATGCAAAGATTCTCTTGATGATGTCTCATCATCTCCCATACTGTTATCGGGAGATGTTCCTAATACACGGTTGGGATGTACTGTAGGGTGTTGATGTGAAATCAGTTATATGGGTGCTCATTTAGGATTCAAATGGCCATTGCCATTTGTGAGGTACTCATTTAGCATATCCCATTGGATTCTCTTTACGTGAACAACAAAAAAAAGCCCACCTAGACAGAATGTTCATTATATCTACCTTGCTCCTGTCTCTAGAAATGGATCTATTTTTTCTTTACTTGGTTTGTTACTAAAATTGGTGAGCTTCTTTTATGAGTTTTCTTTCTTAGTATTATAATTTTTTTTTGATAAAAGCCAAGTATTGATCGTTGAAGAGTGTTGTTTTCTTGGTTTTGATTGTGAAGAACCATGAATTCTTATTCTTTTGTGAATTGCAATTCCAAGTTGAATGGTGATTGGTGGGTTCTTATTCAATCCAAAAAATAATATATGTGATGGATTTGGGTCAACTCAGCCTAAGGAATGTGAGGGTTTCCTCAGCTTCAATCTATGATTAATTTAAATGCTTATAATTTAGCAATAGATAATTAGATATTATATATACTAAATAGAACAAAAATGGCAAAATAAGATTCATGTTGAGATGAGGCTCAAGTGATGATAATGATGAAGATACATTTGTCTCACATACACTTTGGATGATATTGAGGAGATATCATTAAATGTTGTACATCATTATATGATTCATATTAGATCCATCCTTCTAGATCTCATTATATAACCAATATTTTGGATGAAACTTGTGAAGAACATGCTTTAATTGATTGGAAATAATCATACTTCAATTGAGATTTGAGGTTCCCTTATATAATAACAGTCAAATTTCAATAAGAAAGGGTAGGCACAAAATTTAAATTGATATAGGCTGACATGTGGCATGGGTTGGTGCCCATCCATTCTCGCCGTGTATTTAAATTATTCCCACAGCACATCTCCGCCGTGTATTGGAAACATCTCCAGATGATGACATCATCTTTTCTGATACTATCATTTGGAGATGTTTTCAATATACGGCAAGAATGTGCTATGGGACGTTGTGGGGGAAATGATTTGATCTCCTTTCGTCCTACCCAATTTTAAGATCCTATATTTGAATGTTTATCCGTTACACCAACAAGGTTTAGGGTTTTACCCAATTCTTGATGATCTTAGATATAAGCACCCGAATTGAATTCAGACACTATTAGTCAATTTTTAATATGGAGAAATTGAAAACAAAATATTGGGAACTCATATTTTGAATAGAAGGATAAGGTTACATGGACTACTTTTGCTAATGGTAAATTCTCTCAATCAAGAAATTTCTTCAATTTGAGGAAGGAACTTAGTGGAGCAAAATCCAATTGAGTCAAAGACCTAGAAACTTAAAACATTCCCCTTAGATTTAATCTTGAGTTGGATCTCAGTTGTTTGGTACTTTATGTTATGATCCATTTGCCCCATGTTGGTAGTATGGGATGCTAATGTGAGGTATCCCACATCATATCGATAGTATGGAATGCTGTTGTAGGGTATATATGTGATTGGGTTCCCTCCCTCTAATAGCTAGTTTTTAGGGGTGAGTTATCGTAAGGCACATATCACTTTATTTGGCAAGAAATGAATAAAAAAAAAACTTTTTAATGACAAGGTTGTTTCATCTTATGAAATTGTAAGAAAAGTAAATAAGGCTTTACGATTGAATGCTCCTCTGAGTGATGAGGGTACCAACTCTAGTCCTGCAGAGTTTTGTCTTTCTCGAACACATGAGTTAAATGGGGGTAGAGGGTTTTATGGTTTTTGTGTCCTAAATGATGATAAATCCTTTTTGGTGGCTGCAGGAGGAAGCTCAGGAATTATTGATGTAAGAATATAATAACAGAACAATAACAAAAAATAAAATGCAAATATGATTCTGCAAACAAAGAGTAACACCACTTTTCTTGATGAATCCAGTAACACTTGAGCACAACCTTGGACTTCACAAAGCTGATGATACAATCCAATGAAAGACTTCACAAAAGCACCGACTGAATATCCTCTTCGCTGGAAGGCCATCAAAACCTCCAAGAATTCTGCCCAATTCGGATTGTATCATCAGCTTTGTGAAGTCCAAGGTTAATCATATTTGCATTTTATTTTTGTTACTGTTCTGTTATTGTCTTACAGTTGGAACTTCTATAATTTTGGATTAGTTATAATTTTGGATTCAAAAATGGCTATTGATGGTTGCAGCTCACTCTATAGCTCAGAGGACTAAATCGGTTGTTCTAGATAAATGCAGGTGGTCTGTAACACCAAGTTGGCTTGAACATCTCCCTTGTATTTTGTTTTCTTAAGTGTTAGCTTTTTATCTTTTAAATAAAATGCTGGCTATGTTGTAAATCACTTGTCATAAGATAGCAGTCCATATTTCCATCTTAAATTGAAGAATAATATATATATGAAAACCTCCCCTAAGGTTTCATTAATTGTAACTGGAACCATGAATATATAGGAATGTAATGGATGCTTTCTTCCCTCAATTATATAAAGAAAAAATTTTACTTAGGTTCTGTTTGTAATGTAACTTTGAATGGGATACAATTTTTGCATCGAGTTCAGTTTTGCATCTCTTTGTAATTAAGAAAAAATCTATGATGCCGGAAAGACATGATAGTAGAAAGGTTTTGACCAATCAGAACCCCCACGAAAACCCACATGAATGCTTACCACTTTTGTGAAGGAAGACATGATAATTTTCCTATTGACTCACTGTGAGAAACTTCTTTATACACTATTATGTCACCATATTGAGTTTGTAAAACACCAGCACAACAGCGTTCTCTAACATTGAATTATCAGTGTAAGCAAAATTGACAAAGAAAAAATCATAATAGCTCTTGTAGGATGTGGCGGCCCACTATTTGGTAGTCTTGGGTAATCATCTGGTGAAGGCATTACGCACTCATCACCATTGAAAGAAATTCTCCTTGGGAAGGCCCATCCTTCTCTGAATGTAAAAATCTCTGCATCTTTGTGCAGCAGCATCTCTGTCTGCACATTTCCGCTGTCTCCTGATTGTAGTAACAAGTCATTGTAGTACTGAATCCCCCAGAACATTCCAGTATCATCTGCAAATGAAAAGCTTTTGGTGAGAAATCAAGACTGGGTCTGAAGTTTTTTCATCCTCCATTATTTTAGAACCTGGGTTGGAATTTGGTGCAATCAGGGGTGCTTCTACATCTAATGCAGGACCAACCCATCAGCTCCATTGATAAATAGACAGGTCAGAAGGTTCAACTGAATGACTTAGGAGGTGTTTGATGCAGTGGCATGCATTTTGTTGCTGATGCATTTTGGGTTTACCAATATAAGTAGTTATTTCTACCTAAAATGTCAAATTTGATGTTTTTCACACAATATGTACCAAACACCCCCTTAGTAGTTGGGTCTGGCTTTGATGACATGTATTGATGTCTTTAATTAACAGAGCCAAACAAAAAGGGACCATTTCTGGGCCAGCTTGTTAGATTTTTAAGACAGCAAAAGCTCCATTATTTACAGATAAGGAACCACCATTTAATGGCTCAGTAAATTGATGTTTGTAGATTAAATACCAGCAGCTTTGACAGCTTGTTGGCAAGTGTCTGTTTTTACAAATGTAGATACTGATAAAATCATTGGAAGCTTAATGCCTTACAATTCTGTGAACCTTGTTGAACAAATAAAGGTGGCTTAGTTGAGTTCTTTGGTTTGTGTCAATTAAGCCATAGTTGGTAGGTAGGTTGCGGCGAAAGTCATAGTTTCTATCTACCTTGAGCCATTCATACGAAAATCATATATATGAAGTTCAGATTCAAGATTCAAGTTCAATAAAAGAAACAAAGAACTGTTAACTTACTGATTGGTCCATAAAGATTGAGAGGCTTGTAATTAAAGCTGAAGATCTGAGCTATACTCCGCAAGTTTGGATGCTGGATCACCAAATTCCACATGGTGTAGTTCTTGACAAAATTTAAGTTGGTCACTGTCACTTTAACCCTCCAGTACTCCCTGTAACTTGTCTTCACATGCCAGTGCACCCGGATTGGGCACATATGTCTTGAGCACATTACTGTTGGTGGTTGCACTTTCTGTGGAAGCTGCAATGGCGATTCACCAGGTCTGCAGTTGGTCGAGGAACAGAAATTGAAGCAATTCATTTGAGAAAGAGGTGAGGAAGAAGGATGGAATGCAGAGAGGGATGGAAGAGAAAGAGACACGATACTTGATACATTTTGTGCCAGGCATTCCTTGGCAGCTGCAGCTACATCGTGGGCATGGAACTATGGTTTCATTGTAGAAAGCAGACAATGAAACACAGCAGGTCGGGGCAGCATATGCCAGGACCTGTGAGTAACTGCATGTTACATTCCATGTTCCTGCAATACTTCTACATGTTAACAAGCAATACATACAACTTTCCAAGACTATTCTTCAGTTTGGAAGAGGTAAAAATACAAATATGTAGAGTGCATTTGTTCTCTTCACTAACACTAATGTCATTTGGTATACAGAGAAAAGAGGGTTCAGTGTTCACTTACTGAGAGCTTGTGTCCATCTACGTCCATTGTCAGAAGAGAACTTGCTGGGTGTGACATTAAATGGTTCACTGCAGCTGTAGCCAGGGAGGCCAAGGCTGAAATTCCCTGGCATTGTCATATTGGCGATAGCTTGAGAAACCATCCCAACATTCATTTGAAAAGCAGCGCCATACTTGGTGGGGTCTTGTGTCATGGACGATAGCACGCCTCCCTTGCAGCAGTTGGCCACCTGCATGTTGTAGGGCGTCCCTGGAAGCAAATCAACGATCACAGGCTTCTTCTCGCATGAGTGCGGGAGTTGAGACCCTTTGATCCTGGAGCAGTCGCCCTGCTCTGTTGCCTCCGCCCCAACTATGTTCCATATCACTTCTAAGTTGCTCCACTCCCAACTCAGCTTCCATCCTGGGGTCTCTACGTGCCTGAATAACTGGAAGTTGAATATGGATACCCTTGCCTACGGAAGAAGAAGAAGAAGAAGAAGAAGACAATGTCTGTCACCTTCAGTCCACCTATGTATGTGTATGCATCTGATAATAAATCCTTGACTTGACAGAGGATTTTTATTCTACACATGGGCTCTCTTTCAATTCTGAATGCATTGGAATTGAAATACAGAAGATAATGTGTGTTAGGTTTCATTTGGCGTTTATTGATGGGAGTGTTTATAGAATGTTTATTTGAAGAATGCTATTTTAAAAGTTTATTGCTTTTTGGTTTGGTTGGACATTCTATGGGTGTTTCAAGTAACACCTCATAAAATTACTTAAATTTCTCCCAACTCCTCATGTACATAAATCAAATCATTTTCAGTGTTTATTTAATAAATATTGAACCAAATAGTGATTTTATGCACAATAACATCAATGGTTTATGTGACTCTGGGTCTGTTTGACATCTCCCGATTATAATGAGGTTGGAATTGGTTTTGGTTAATGTGGCCTTATATGATATATAGGACGGGATTTATATGAAGTGGGACAATTTTTAAAGAGAATAATGTCATTGAGAGAAAATTATTTCGGCTATGTTTGGAAACAATGCAAATGGAGTGTAAATTTCGGTTCAGGGTAAATTTGTATTTTAGTTTACTTTTGCTTGTGTTTGGCAACATTACATTTATGTATTGATAAGCGATAGAAAACATATTTTTCAATGTATATTTATATTGATAATAAGATATAAAAGTATATTAATAAAAAAGAAGTAAATTTGCGTTCAAGTGGGCTTTTGATAAAAAAAGGTATATACTTTATGAGAATTCATGTTTGCATCTATTACAGCTAAAAATCTGTTTGGCAAGAAAGTAAATTTATCAGTGCAAAACTAATCCAACTTTACAATTTATATGAATCATTTTACACTATATATTTGCATTCACACTTATTTGCATCGTTTCCAAATACAGCGGTCATAATTCCAGTCCTTTAGTTCAAAATGAGTCCCCTCAGGAATCCCATTCAATTGGCTTAGAAATAAAAAAAAAAAAAATCCCTTTCAACTGTGGGCTTATTGGGAAACATGCCCATACTTAGGTGGTGGTGGACCTTCACCAGAGTGTTGACCCAAATTGAGTGGGCTGACTTCAATTAAGCCCAGTGGACTGGCCCAACTGAGAGATATACATATACGCAGAAGGTTCTTAACTATAATTGAATATAAATACACTAGTAATAAGTTTCAAAATTCCCTTTTCATATAATAGCTTTTAGAGATGGGGTCCAAAGTTCACACCAAAATAATGAATCAAATTTAAAACTTTGCGGTATAAAACTATAAATTTTCAGTTTGTTCTGGGAAAAGAATAAATATGTTCATAAAATTAGTACTTCGGGATTAATAAATATGTTAAAAATAAGCCTTAAAGAAAATTAAGGTAGGATAGGCTGTTGGACTCCATGATGTCCTAATAGAAATTTAGAAATGCATTAGTCAAATGGGATTAATATGGTGATAACAGCTTGATCATGGAGAACCCATTGGATTCTACAGGGAACCTCCAATGTTTGCCACTGCATGAGCTGCCTTAGTAGAGATCCTAATACCTATCTCAGTTTGACTTGTTAACACCTACCCAGCAACCAGCTAATGCAATAAATCTAAATCATCTCCCGTTTTTGCAGAATGCCTTAATTCCGCTTGCCTCAATTGTAGCCCTCTCAAGTTTGTGACAAATCCCAATTCTACTTCTACATAATGTAGGGGTGTTAATAGATTGGTTTTGGATTTGACTCCATCCAAATTAAAATTCATTTGAACTGATTAGACAAACCAATAAGACATTGGATTGGACCTGGTCCGTCTGTAATGAATTTATATTAGATTGAGCAAATATCTGGTCCATTGATAGAAGATAAAAACATAAGTATCAATGGACCAGGTTTGATTTGAAACTAATCTAAATTAACAGGAATTTAAACAGATTGAACAGCCTCTGGACTGGTCCAAAATGGTCAAAAATATTTATTGGACTGGACTGGACCAAGTCCATTTGTAATAGACTCACATTGGACTGGACCGGATTTGACCAAATCCAGTTCAATTGACACCCCTAGATAGGTGCTTGCAATATTCTCCACATTAGTCTCTGAACACTCTTGAAGCTTCTTTGACACCATTCTTAGAACACCCATAGTCAATACTGTATTGGAAAAAAGCAGATTGTTAATTTCTACCCTTCTACAGCAAATTCTAACAAATCAATGCCCTGAGAGAATTTCTTTTGCAATCATCATTTCCCTAAGAAAGAAACCACTCAAAGAACATGTACCAACTATATATAAAGCCTGTTAGCCATTAGATAATGCAGCAGAAGGTGTTCAATGGATCCTAGTGCTCCAAGGCATTTGGGGTAGTCCTCGTTTGTGCATATATGCCACCGAAAAAGCAAGTTATTCACTACAATTTCAACTAGCACTTTTCAAGAAATTGTTTTATTTTGAGAGGATCTTTGATCTTTCTTTCACATAATCTTTCAAAGCATATCAGGTCTTGAATTGGATGATGAATATTGTGTTTAATTTCAAACTGGAAGAATATGCAAAATGATACTCCATTCTCACTGAGTAAATGCTTAATCTGTTCATTCCCCAAATACTGGGCATTCCCATCTTCTACCCTTGAACTATGAGTTCTATACCACACATGGAAATGGACAACATTGGGCCCTTTGGGTGGAAATCTTGACCTAGGAAGAATGGGTACCTAGGCATCATCTCTAGCTATTTAGATTCTTTAACCATTACCCACATGCTAGATGCCCCTCTTGTAAAGCAGTTCCCTACCCCACACTAAACTTCTTCAGGTCTAAGAGGGTCTGCAACAAACTTAAACTTTAGCCTCCCAAAAGGAAGTATGACAAAAGTACCTTATTTAATTACTTTGTACCATAAATAAGAATTGTCATTCAACAGTTCTCCTGCTGTTTTGGCCACCAAGGTTTGATTAAGTTGGCATATACTTAGAAACAGTTTATTTTTGAGCTTTGATTTGCAAAATCTGGCCTACCTGACCCAGTTCATCTTCTTCTCTTCCCTTTTTATTCCCATTAGAAGCTTGATATTGTTTTCTTTCTTTTTTTTGATTACAAGAAGCTTGATATGTTGTTGTTGCCCTGTTTGTTTTTTGGTAAGTTACTTACCCGGGTAAATACAATTATCTGGGTAAATTTTTCCTAGGAAACACTTACCCAGGTAAATGCATTTTACTCATGTTCTTTTATTTCTTAGGTAAATAAGGCAATGGCCATTTTAGCCTTAAAAATCTATTATTAAAAGGGGCATTTTTGTCCCACTCAAGTGTTGGCAACTTTTCCCCTAGGCGGATAAATAAAAAAATCTATTATTAAAAGGGGCATTTTTGTCCCATTCAAGTGTTGGCAACTTTTCCCCTATGTGGAAAAGTTATTTATCCACTTAGGGGATGGGTATCACTTTCCTGGGGGATACACAGGAAAATAAACTTTCCCTGGTCCCTACATAAAGTTGAAAAAAGAACATGGGATTCTTGATCAATGGGAACTAAAATCCCGTTGACCAACTTTCCCCCTCTTCAAATCCAAAAAAAAGAACGCCCCCTTAAAGTAATCACACAAATCATCTGGCAACTTAAAATGCATCATGAAGAGTATATAGGTTTTGCAAGGGTCATCAATTTTATCAAAACCTCTTTACTAGCGTGAGAAAACAGAGAACATTTGAACCTCTTCTTTTACTCATAGTTCCTTAAACCACATTTGCAAGTATCCCTTCCCCACCCCCTGCCCTCTCTCTCTCTCTATACATGGAAGGCAAGTATTTTAGTGTACCTGTTGATATTGGAATCAAGAGCTATCTAGTGCTTTGGAGGCATTTCTACTGTAGAACAATACATTGGACTTCTGGTAGTTTATTAGATGACTTGAGGCCTCACGAAAGTACTCGCATATATGTAATCTTTGCACAATACCGGCCAGTTTTCACTCCTTTAATCTTATTCTTTGGCTATGTTGTGCCATAGACTAAATAGGCCCTAAATCGCAATTATAAACAAAAGGGAGTAGAGAGGGTCTCCTATCTCAACCCCCTTTCTAGTTCAATGTAACCACATTCCTATCCACAGACAAAGAGAGAGAAACTAAATTGTTTGTTTTCTTTTTTGGTAGTAAAATAAAATAAAATTTTATTAAGAAGAGAAAAAGAAGAAAAAACACCAATGGAGATACATAAAAAATTGTGGTGTGTAAGTTGTTTTTTTGGGAGTAAAATAAAATTTTATTGAAAATAAAAAAAAAATAGAAAAGACAAAAAGGGCTAGAAATTAAGTTGTTTAATATCACTATTAAAACAAAGAATTAATGAGTGTAGGAAAAGTATTATGGTCAAGAGAAGAAAACAAAAAGGGCTAGATTAAGTTGTTTTCTTTTTCTTTTATTGGGTTTGGGCGGGGGGGTTTATAATAACTAGTGTTAGGTTAAGTTTATGAGTAGGGATGACAATTTCTACCTTACCTGATGGGTATCCATCCTACCCTCTCCAACAGGGTTGGGACGGGTTTTGGGATTGTATAACCCATATGGGTATGGATAGGGTATGGTATTAGACTAAACCCAACCCTCCTCGACATGCATATTGTTGGAAAGCATATAAAATTTATGTATTAGGTATTGAATTTAATAATATTTTGAATTTTATGTGAAGGATAATTGATGGTTTATATGTTTTCTACATGTCTTAATCAAATAATTAAAAATTTTGTTGTTTATTTGCATTATTTTTACTTATTTATTGCTTATATATAACAAGAAATAATTGAAAATTAGATGTGGACGCCCAACCCGCCCCTACCACTGAATGTGGGGAGGATAGGGTCGAGGAAGGTTTTGTGTTTTTATGTATTGGAAGAATTTGAATTCTCAAAATCCAACACACTACAGGTTTTGCGGTAGGTGCTCATTGAAAAGTTTAGGAGAACATATAGAGTATAAAATTTACAAAACCCTCCCTGAACCCATCCCCCATTGCCATCCCTATTTATGAGTCATACTATAAAACTTCGAAAAGGGTAAATGGGCAATGGTCAAGAAAGATGTATTATTCTAACTTAAGAGAATAGTTGACAAATTTAAGGAATTAAGATATTCAATTGGTACTTTTGACTTAAAAACATATGATATTATCTTTAATAGTCATCTGGCAGGTTTTGGGAAAGGCTTCAATGAAGTCTATTAAAACAATTAAGTATATTATCCATGAGCAATAATAATTGTTGGCTAAAAAAATTGGTCAGCTAGAATTCAATAAGGGGAAGAGTTTCCAATCACAATGGGTTTACACCAACAGTTAAACACTTGGTTTAATTTTAAATATTTTTTTATTAATTATGGCTGAACTAACTAGACATTTGTTATGGATACATCGCCTGGCAGCGCATGCGGCGCAGTCATAGGCAGTAGCACGCACAGCGGGCCGCCCAGCAGCACGCACCGCCCGGCAGTGCCGCACAGCTGCCCGGCAGCGCACCGCCTGATAGCGCGTAGCACGCATCGCCTGGCAACACCCACTGCCTGGCAGTGCGCAGCACACACCGCTCGGCAGCGTGCAACACGCACCCGGCAGCGCGCAGCACGCACCGCACGGCAGCAGCACTAGGCAGCAGCATGCACCGCACGACAGCAGCACTGCGAGATGCGCGCATCGCCCGACAGTAGCAGTAGGGCGGGGCCCACATGACAGCTCATTAGGGTGGGCCCACACTTATCTTACCACATCAGCTCTGCCCGCCAACTCGCCGCCAGCTACACCATTCCTCATCCCTTATCCTTATCCTTATCTTATCTTAAGTAAGAGTTGTGTTACCATTAGGAGTAGGTAATTAGGAGTTTGAGTTTAATTAGGAATTTCCTTCTGTAATCTCCTATTTAAGGAGTCACGAATTGAAATAAAGGCATTCAGTTTTCTAGTCAAGAAAAGAGTGAGGAGAGTTCGGGTGGTCTCTTGGACAAATCACCCATTCAGTTTCTACAATAGGGTCTGCACACAAGGGAAGGCGCAAGGGAAAGTAGGGCTTTCTCACCGTGGAACGACCCGTGACGAGATTCTACGCGCGGGACCATAACATTTGGTATCAGAGCCAAACGTCACGGGCGATATGGAGCAGCTATCATTCAAGGTCAACGAACTGGAACATAGGCTAGTAGAAACCAGCATGGAGGTTCGTGAAGTCAGGGAAGATGTCTGGGAGATCCAATGCCTGGTGGAAGCATTCCTCTCCAACAAAGAAGGGAGTTATGAGGGAATCGCCAATACAAACAGGCACCGTCCGAACTGGGCAGAGGCATCCAGGGAACAACAGATTGCTGCCCCTACAGCCGCAGTTATTCCCAAGGATCAGCGCACGGAGGATGAAACTGTAAAGTCTCCTCCTTTGGCCGGGGACAATGGCACGAACATTATATTGGTACCTGTAGAATGCGCTCCTTGGTCGAAGATAGGTGGGCTTGGCGATGTTGTTGGGGCTTTACCGAAGGCTTTGGCTCGACGTGGACATAGAGTTATGGTAGTGGCACCACGGTATGGTAACTGTGCGGAAGCCCAAGAAACAGGAGTGCGCAAGAGATATAAGGTGGATGGGCAGGATATGGAGGCCGCTCTTGAGGTCCTCTTCTGTAAGCATACTCGATGCGTTCTTGTGATCCACAACATAGCACACCGGGGTCGTGGTCCAGTACGCGATTTTTGTTATGTGAATCTTCCACAAAACTACTTCAAACTATATGACCCAGGAGGTGGGGAACACTTCAATGTCCTTGCAGYTGGCCTGAGAGYAGCAGATCGYGTAGTCACTGTAAGCCATGGTTACGCCTGGGAGCTGGAAACTAAAGAAGGTGGCTGGGGTCTGCATCAATTAATAAATGAGTTTGATTGGAAGCTGAAGGGCAT